CAAAAAAATGTACATAGGAATAGAGAAAAAGACGATAGTCATTTTGTAGCAAGAGAAGAGAGAAAGTGATCGAACGCAACTGTTTCTTTCTTGTAAATCATTTCTTTCTTTTAATCGAGTCAATGATGAAATTGATTTGTTTTTTTCTCCTTCTATCTCTGAGTAAGTTAGAAAGGAAGGATACTATTTTGTAAATCTCATTTGAAAATGATTTTATTAATCTTAAAGGTATTTGCTCAAGTGAAGTCTTCCGATGTTATAATTGTGATAGTGAGAGCAGCAGTGGATGTGGCGACTCGTTGAGTGGGGGTGTGAGTGTGGTTGAAAAGAAAAGGAACATCCATACCCTAGCTTACTACATTTTCTTTTCGTATCAATCAGGATAGTAAATTTCAAACATGACAATCTCCATACTTCTATAACTTAAAATCTGAATCTTTTCAATAGAATACAATAGTTATATTAAAGGAATATTTGAATGATATAAATAAATAGTTTGTGTCACCATTCAATTTAGTATATCATTGATTGAAAATTAAAATGCACAATTTGAAGCGACCTGATTGGAATCATATACATCTGTAATAAATTATCTCCACACCAATTGATTCCGAAGTTGTCTCTTCTAAATTTGTCTTCACGTCATTACAATTAAAATTTAATAATCGGCCTAATTGATCTATCAATATATAGGAGTAGGTACGTGTGCAGGTATGAATGTATAAAATGGACATCCGCAAATCGTCAAGTCATACCGCCTCGCCTCGCTGCGGGTCGAGCAAAGGTTTTCAACATCGAGGCGAGTACGAGATGGTATGAGATTTGACGCTTCATCCTATCTCCTTACGATTCATTTATCCCGACTTCTCAAAACGTGCTCGATCAATTTATTCAATTCCAATAACTATAGCTAATATCGAACGCTAGTCTATTGCTGATGGTTTAAGTAATACTTATTCATTTTGATCTCTTTATATATTTTTGTTTTTTGAACGTATTTACATGTATTAAATATATTTTATTTGATCTTATGAAATAAAAGAAATAGTAATTCATAGATGAAGTTGCAAAAAATGCATGAAGAAAAAACACCGATTTCTATGCTAGGTGATTGGCAAGGCGGTGGAAAAACGGTTTTTCTCAGCTGCTTCGCAGATCTCTGATATAGAAGATCTATCAACACACCTTCACTCTTTAATGCTTGAATTTCATCTTGACGAATATTTAGATGGTAATCTCATCGATTTGGAACGTGATATCAAGTGTGAAGAATGTGTGAAAATAAAATATACATACTATTAAATAATCATTTTTTTTCACTTAATGTTCTTGTGTGCTATTGCTCATATTTCTTCCATTAAAGTAAATGTTAGATGATCATTCAGTTAATAAAATACCTTATTCCAATCTTTTTAGAAATTAGTTAAGAACGAATTCTGTAAGTTTCTCATGGCACTAATTTTTATTAATTAAAGAAGGTCCCAGTTGAAGTTAATCGGTACAATTAATTCTATTATTCACTTATGACTTTGTTTTTATGATAGCTTGCGTAATGTTTTCTCATTTAATCTATAGAAATTTTTATTTGGTCTCTTGTCGTTTCCTTTTCTTATCATATACCTATTAAACATGCCTTAATCTTCTTTTATTCATGATCATTTTTGGTATTGAATTTATGCTTTTTCTTTTGCTTATCAATGCTTGTACATAAATTTAACACTGCTCATTAGAAAGTAAATAATAGAAGTACAAGATAATTTTCTATTCCTTCCGTTTTTTAAATTATAATTTTAAAAATTTAACGATTTGAATCTTAATTTTGCAACTAGATCATTATCAGAAAATCCATTTTGATTTCCTATAGTCTTGGTATTAATGTCTAAAATATCAGTATGACCTATGTAGATGATTCGATTTTTGTTTTCAATACATTGAAGATCAGTAAATATGAAGTGTATTTTACTAGAAATTATTTGACCTTCAGATTAAATAAAAAAAAATATAAGCAGATTAAAAGGATGATGAGAATAATGCCCTGCTGTCATATATTTACTTTCATTTTTATATTTATACTCTTTCATTTTATAGTACCTTTTCGTCAATGTTAAATTGACAGTAACACAATATGTAGTCTATTATTTATTTTAGAATAATCATTTTTATAGGGATTATGTCTTCGTATTCATATGTTGTATTACTATTATTGGTGATTATTTCAATCGTCAATGCTGGTGAAAAAGTTTGTCCTGGCTATGGATTTATTCGACCACCGGAGAAATGTGAATCAACATGTTCAAGAGAAAAAGATGAATGTCCATTAGGTAAAAAATGTTGTTTCCGCATTGAACAACCATGCGGTTTTCAATGTATTGTACCGAAAGATAATGAACCAAAACCAGGCAAATGTCCAACATCTGAAAGCGAACAACAAAGTCCATATTGGGGCTTATGTGATGGACATTTTTGTGATGTTGATAATGATTGCAAAGGTGCTGAAAAATGTTGTCACAATCCATGTGGTTCGCCAATATGCGTTGCACCAAAATAATTTCAACATATATTCATTTCAAAAAAATTATTCTATTAAGTTTATCTATTAAACACATGTCGAAATGAAAAAGGATTTTTTGTCATTAAATATCTATTTGCTTTGTATTTAAAAGAAGAAGGTACTACGGAAAAGAATTTATTTTTTGTTTTTCTTCTGTTAAATCAAGTAAATATATTTTTTTGCCTTCCCATACACATTCACACACATGACAAATATTCTCAGATAGTGAAATAAGATATGTTCTATTGAATTGATTATTGGTTTTTTTTTCATTTGATTTGAATATGTTATCAAATAGAAAATTTGACAAAAATAGTGTAAGTTTTATTTTCCCGTATCGAATATGAAAATAAAAAAACAATATGTTTATTTTTCTATCATCAATACGATAGTTTGTTTTATAGTTGGAATGAATGAACATGGTTCACTTGTATAGAAAGATTCTCTAGATAAAAGTGAAAAATCTCCTATTCTTGACGCATATCGATCATTTTTTTCAAAGCTCGTTGTTTCGGCACATATTTTCTTTTACTATAACAAATAACAAAATGCTGCTGATGAATGATTTTTCCAGCACGCCATTATCGAATAGAACACTTGATAAAATGTATAATCATATTTTCTGCATATTATTATTATTATTATTTTGTAAATCTTATAAGTATCGATAATAAAAATTAAAGATTTATATATATATACAGATATTATTTGATAGAGGACATTTTGGCACGTATGTAGATTATATTTAACAGACTCCAAAGAATCAGTTTTGAAAATAAAACTAATGAGGAAATCTCTCCAGGTATCAAATCGCTTTTCGATCGCGGTAATGTTTATTTACTAAGTAAGTAATAGAAACGTCGCGAATGATTTGGTATTCTGAGCTGTCATTCTTGAGACACCGAAGTTTTACTGGATTTTTTAACAAAAAAAAACTGTGGTCGTCCTCAGGTCACATGAAAAGTCCACCTTCGACATCAGAATTTCCACAATCAAAGTTCTCAATGAGATTAGTTCATTGGGTAAGTTTTAACTTTTCTAATGTCGGCGCCAGAAATGGATGGAGAAAACTATAGGAGTAATATCTCGCGAACGGATCTAGCTAGCAATCTCATCTTTTCAGCGTTAGAAAGAGTAGTCTTTCGGGGACAAATCTATATTAAATTCAATAGGTGAGCGAGTGGTCAAGGCTGTTAATTACCGTTGAAGATTTTATGCCCTACCGGACAAAAACGTTTTCGAATAGATTTTTAATTCCACGGTGATCATTCAATAGCGCAAAGTTTGCTCTCTTAATCTACGAAAGCTCGAATTTTTTATCTTGTAGTGTTCAAAAGTTATTCAAGTTACACTGAGTATCTGTAGCGTGTCAAAAATATGATTTTTTTGTTTTCGAGAGAGAAGAATCTTTTCATTGTTGGTGCATGAGAGTTTTCGACCAATTTAAGTCGCATAACGACAAGTGACTAGTCATTCTGACATAATTCACTTCGATCACCACTGTATTCTATAGCTCTCTTCTGAATCTAATGCAAATGATACTGTCCACCATACATTCTTGCTTCTTTTTCTTTGTATTTTCAATGTTATGAATCTATTGCACGAAAAACTACCAGTCAATAAAGTCAAAGTTCGGTGCTATCATCGCTAGCATCAGAAAGATTATCAGTCTCGATATTTGATACGTCGTCGATTAATTGTGGCTTCACAGTATTTTCTAAGAATTCATCTGCTGCTTTGTTCGTTGTTTCCACTTTTTCAGCACGACAAATTGCACTTTGTGCAGCTTTGTCATCGAAACCAGCAATAAATTCAGAAGTTAATTCATAGACGTTAGTTAACGAGAAGTTAGTGTTGTTTTTACGAACATATTCTTTTAATCGAGCTCAAGCGATCTCGACGGGATTTAATGAACAATGTCGCACTGGCAGCCGCAAGATTTGTACGTCGAACTCTTATGCGACCTCGTCAACCTAAGTAATATAAGTTCATAACATATGAGTATTATAAAACTATCTATACTTTATATTTTTTTTTGGGTTTATTCTCCAAAACAATCTCTAGTAATTCCGATTTTTTGAATGTCGAATCAAATTCAATTCCATGATTTTCCAACCATTCAATTATTTGATTTTTTCTCATTGATCTTTTGGTAGGTTTAGAACTTTCTGTAAGTTCTGAATGCCATGTGGCATTATCGATCACTATGGCTATTCTTCGATTTTGACCTAATTTCAAAAATAAAATGTAAGAAATTCTTATTTCAGCAAAATTTACCGTTATCCTCTCTCAGGCAAAAAGCTGCTTTTTTAATCTATTCAATAAATAAAATGTGCTGAGGTCATTGAATGATCTTCTGAAGAGTTGAAGATCTCAACAGATGGTAAGAGAAAACTATTCTTATCGATCATAGCAGATATTCCCAAACGAGAACCTAAATAAAAAATATATATGAATATTATATCAGGCATAATTGTTAGTATATTACCTTTGCCATCGGTTTTTCTAAGCCTTCCTTTACCAGAATCATCAATCCAGATTGATCTTTTCTCCTCGCCGACATTCACCCACGTTTCATCGTGAAACAAAACTAAAGTACCAGCTTTTCGCAATTCGTCAAGATTACGGAAATAAACAGCATGTTGAGCCACGAAAGAGTTATCATCTAGTGCCACCTTTACTTTGCTTGTCATTTGATAGGAAAAGCTCAATCGATGCATATGCAGCCGAAGAGCCGTCTGTGAACGAATTGGAAAATCTTTGTGAGCTGTGAGAAGACGTTCAAGAAGAATAGCAACAGTAGGATAAATTTTTTCTGTCAACAACAAATGAAACTGAAATCGAATTTCATCAACAGCTTCTTCAGATAATGGAATTGATGGACGTCCCCGAATCTTACTAGGAACCTTCAATAGAATTGTGTTCACTCCATAAGACATAGACCAAGTTGATATATTCTGATTTTCGTGTGAAATATTCGTCGATTGAGTTTGTGACGCTGATCGGAGTCGTAAGCGCTTCTCTTCTTCTTCTTTCACTTGCTCTTCTTGTAATTCACGTATTGCCTTCATTTCCTTCCTCAAATTAAATAATGACGACTCAGAAATATCCAACATTATCAAAATGCGCACAGTTGAATTACAACACATATTAATGAAAATATTTCAAAATCATATATGTTTTATCAAGCTGTTTTATTTATTTCAACAATGTGAGGACCAAGAACCATTTTATTAAGAATTCCTTCAATATTACGCATTGTTTTTTCAATATTAACTATAGCAGAATCATGTACCGTACCAATATTACCAGCACTTTTTTTGTATTCTTATATGTCTTAAAACAAAAGCAGATACACAAATTACAATTGATGCTAGTATGACTGGTAAAATAGAGTTTTATTTTTTATATAAAATTGATTTTATAAATAAATTTTAGCTATTTATGCATTGGTTATGTCAATGGCACTTGTAGGAACAGCTGCTCAAATTGTTAAATCTGCTTTCTTAGATCCAAGTGCTGTTTTTTTACCAAGTGTTGCAGCTACATTTATTGTTACTGATCGTCTACATCGAAATGAAATGTTTAATTTACTTCATGGTTTTCTTTATCTTATTAGAATTCCTGGTGATTATCTTCTTGTTACTTATGCTTTATGTAATTAACATGTTGTTTCATGGGATACAAGAGAAACAGTTGAAGTTGTTAACATTGAATTAGTTTAACAGCAGATGAGAATTTATCCATAACTATTTTAAATTTTATTACAAAAATGTGAAGCTTTTCGAGAGTTCAACTCTCATCATCAGACAAAAAAGATAAAAATGATTAAAGTTTACATTTAAAAGTACAAATAATAGAATTAGTCATATATATAGCCATTTTGCTGAGGCAAAGACCTCTATAGGAAGGACTAAATTTGTTTCTTAATATTAAGAAATTTCTTAATATTAAGAAACAAATCCCCCATGGCACTTCACTATACACCTGCTTTCATCTTGGCTTTTGTTTTAAATAATGACGAACTATCCGAATAAATGACCAGAGGAACTGAACGCACAGTTCGATTAAGTGAAGGTTCAAGTTTTGAAATTTGTATCGATTCACGTATTAAAAGACGATAAAATTTCTGATCGTTGCTCAATAATTTCCAGTTATCCCAATCAATCGAATGCCCTGTCTCTACTTCATGTTGATAAATTACTGATTGAGAAAATTTTAAATTCTTTTCGTCAGATAATTTGGGAGTATCTTCTATAGCTTCATCGAGAATTTTTTCATTTAATGCATAGTTAACAATAGGAACATTTCGTTTAGGGCGTTGAGAAAACATTAATGTAGTTGTTAATGTTGGAAAATGTTGTGGGGGAGGAGAAGATAGTAGCCTCATTTTACCGTGTTCTTCAAACCGTCTGGAAACTTGACGCCAAGTTTTTCTAATATAACTTGCTGAGCAACCCGTACAGTTGACATTATAAACCACATTTGACAATAATTTCCTTGGTACGGGATCTTTCCGTGCAAATAAAGTTTGGACTTTTGGAAAGGGACGTGGTATAGGTTGTAAGTGTAATGTTGGTTTGACCTGTTTGGCTACATTCAACAATTTTTTTCCAAAAGTAGAAGTAAGTCTTCCCACATAAGGTATATCAACTAACAAAACCTGATTCTTCTGTAAATTTTCCTTAATAGAAACATTTGTGTTCTTATTAAATTTGTTTTGATCAATTTTAAAAGAAGAAGGAGTAGAAGAAGAAGCAAGTCGATATCTTTCAAAAGTCACTCGAATCACTTTGAGTACAAATGGAAGAGGATATCCATTAGAAACAGCAATTTTTCGAATAAATAAGAATTCTTTGTGAAGTAACGAATAATCAGAAATAATTCGAAGGGCTCTATAGACCATACTGGATATTACACTACGTTTATATTCCAAGGGCACCAAAGAGTTCCACTTTAGAATAAGACGTGTAAACGTAGGGTTACGATAAATATCCGTACAAAACCATGAAGTGTTATAATTTAAAAGACGACGAATTGAGATGTCTAAGAATGGCAAGGGTGGGTTTGGGTGTGGGTGTGGGTGTGGGTGTGGGTGTGGATGAATAGAATACTTTGAGTCACACCCACACCCACCCACACCCTTGACGAATGAATTAAAACAAAAGGTGAAAATATTGATTCTTTGTATTTGACAGCGCGGTATATAAAAATTTCGCTGATCTATTTTATTTTATTAAACAATGTTGGCAAAATTCTCCAAGCAAAATACACGACAGAAAAGAGTGAGACAAACAAATCTAAACATATTCATTGCTAAGCAAGGAAATAATTAATCTGTTAATATGACTCATATGTTGGAAAAAAAACTCATCATCAATTCACCTCTCTTTCTATCACCTAGTTTTTTATTCTAATCGTTTGCAAGACTGCAGAAAAGAGCAATAAAATATTCGAAATATGTGTAGTTTTGAGATTTGAGTGCACGATCAAGGACATTTCTACTTCAAAATCAAAATTTTAATAATTCTAGGACAATTCTGCTAGGAAAGTAGAATTCTAGGTAAATTCTAATGGAAAACAGAATTCTAAGCAGAATTTTGATTTCGATGTGGAAATAGGTGTGTAAGGTTAGCACAATTCTGGTAGGAAATTAGAATTCTGACTAGATTCCAGCTAAATTCTAATGAAAAAATAGAATTCTAAGCAGAATTTTGATTACAATATAGAGAAGTCTCAATGGTATACGATGTTCGTTCTATAACAGAGTTCTTAAATTCTGCTGGTGATGGATTCTGCCAGCTCTCGTAATTTGCAATTGTAAAAAAATGAAACAAGAATAGGAATTCGGAAAATCTTAATATGAGTAGTGTAAGCCGATAAGCTGAACCAAGGTTGTCGCCGTGTCAAAAGCAGATGATAGTTTTGAACACTTTCACTTTTTAGAATCATTTTTCGAGAGTATTTTTGTTGAACATGTTTTGTAGAGGAACATTTCGTTTGCAAGACATTTCGCCCAAAATTCTTGGCCGAACAGCACTTTCTCAATAGGACGTTTCGTCGAAGGATAATTATTTTGTTGCCTTCGCCGTTCAACAACATATAAGGATAAATAAATAAGGAAGACTGAGAAATGACTCATCGAACTCAGAAATATCTCGAAAATTTAACTACTCAGTATGCATAAAAGTAAATTACGTTTCTTGGGCGTGTGAAAAGTCTTTAACCTTTCGTCATAAACAAGAAATAGAAAAGATTTAGTTCTTTTTTTCTCAATTAAATATTTTTCCATAATTTTAACGTTGTGCTTCTCTGTTTATTTACCTGTAGTTTTCAATAAATAGATGCCATAATATTTATGTTATACGATTCGTGTTCTCTATATATTTGGACAAACGTATACAAATTGTTAGAGATTTTGTAACAGCTCTTTTGAATGGAACCTAACTGTCCCATAACTTTTTATTTTCATGAATAAAATAAAACTTTTCTGTTGTTGGAAAACGAATTCTCATAACAGAACAATTTCGTTTCTTTCATGACAATAAAGAGTTTTGGGACAGTTCACTTTCATTCAAAAGAACTATTACCAAATTTCAAACTATTTATATAAGTCTGTGCGAATCCAGACACAAGTCCAAGCCGATGTCCCAAATCTAAATTCAAATATCAAGGTTTTGGCTCTAAACCCCAGATTTAGTCCAGATTTTTTGTAGACTTAAGAAAACTTCCAAAATTTCCAGTTGCCACTGCCTACAGACAGAAATGCTTAAGCATTTTCAACTGCCGTACTAAAAGAAAAAAGGAAGCAACAATAAAGTCAGCCATTACGTTCGATCCATACATTGGTTTACACTTTTGCTTACAAGAACAGAGACAAAAATTTCACTGGAGACGAGAAATGGGAACCAAGAAAAGTCATCCCTATAGGATTCTACCGTTGCTTCCCGAGCACTACTATCTTTGTCATCAGTCAGCGAAATTCTGTTCCATAAATCTCTGATCTGATTGCGAGACATCATCTCTGTGGCATTTCTTTTCATTGAACTGATATTGAAGAATGTGATTCCAGGCGAGAATAAGATGTGCTGGCTTTACTGTTGCAAAAAACAAGATCTTCTTTTGATGTAATAAGTGTAGTTTATTGATCAATTCATATATCACTCATTTTTTATCTTTGTACATTGATGTAAAGAACGAAATCAGATATTCGTTCAATGATTTCAGAAAGGCAGATAGACAAAAGAAAAAAGACCATCGATTAAGGTGTAGACAGAGATCTCAAGAGTGAATTTTGGCGTCCTAATATCGAGAGTGTATCTGTATAAGGTGCGTAGAAAGAGGAACCGATTTGTGTCAGTTGATCCAATGTTGTTTTTATTGATCCTGACGCTGGTTCTGAGCGATCTCCATGTACCTCTCCTTCTTTTGACGCTCCCCGTGAAGCTTGTCGCGATATTTGTCGCGATATTTGTCGTGATATTTGTCGCGATATTTGTCGCGATATTTGTGGTTTCAATTCCTTGTGAGCGGATACCGAGCTTGAGGAGGTCTCTAGTGGCACAATGACATTTTCCGATGACTTTGTTGGAATATGGCGACGATGCAAACGACCAAAAGGTTGTACAACATGTAGACTGCGATTGAACGACGCTTGGAGGCCAAATTTGATGAAATCCAGTGGAACAAACCAAATGAGATTATAGATCCAAACAATACCTAAGAAGAGCAACTAATAATTATCGCAGCCGTTGCAGATAAAACAATCTACAAAATTTTATTCCCGTGATTCTCAAACAGCAATCAAACCATTCTACCGAACTAGACGGAGTTCAAGCGCGGAGCTCTACAGTGGAAGTCACTTTAAAAATTGACTGCAAGCGAAGATTTCAGTTTTATAGAAGACTATTACTGTCGATAAGAAGACAAACAAAACGACCTATAAAGTGTGGTTTTTATACTAGACTTTATATGTTTAGACTTCTTAATATTAAGAATTTTTACAGCTGTATTGAGTTAGGGTTGGCATACTTACCACACGAGAAGGGAATGTTTTCTGATATTTTTATAACGAAAACATGAACTGAAGACTCTTAATCATTGAGAATCTGTGACAGTCGGTTAAAATGAGTTTAAAAAAGTGACTATAATCAATACATTCAACTTGATCCAAAACCCTCATTGTATGTTGAGAAAGCATAAACTTAAAATTTAGAGCTTGAATTTTGGTTAGGACTACAAATTTGCCCGTTGGAAATTTTCGAGCTCATATTTCTACACTCCTAAAACCACGAAAAACGATAAGGATGAGTAAAGTTGACTGCCTTCAGTGCCCTAAAAATTGATAAAAAGGCATCAAGAAACCGGCGAAAATCGGTCAATTTTAAAAGCTCAACTGGATCGGATCGGTAATTAGAAAATCAGCTGGTCTAGCTTCAAGTCTGATTGTGCATGCAGTCTCTTCTGCTTTTTCACAATCATTTTGTTAGAGAACTGAGTCCCACCATTTGGACGGTGTCAATTTCGGATGAGCAATCAGCCAGCGAACTAATTCTAAAATGGTTCGTGTATGATACACAAAAACAAGTTTTCAAATAGAATTTTTGATAACTGATCTAAATGTTTACCTGCCCAAGCCCATCCACAGCCAACGATCTCGGTAAATGTCCAATTGGCATAGACAGCAATCAATGTGGTGCACAATTGCGTGATGACAAAAGCAGCAATCAACAGGAGAGTTGGTCGTTCTGCGAAAAAGAATCCATGTGATCGGGTGATGAAGATCAAGGCCTGACTAATTGATGACACTTGTAGATAGATCATTGCATGTAAGGAACCATCTGAATAGCCACCATCAGCTGTCGGCTGAATCGTATACACACCAAAGTGATCTTGAAAGAAGCTAGTTTTGGTAACAATCGTGAAAAAGACTAAGGTTGATGCAGCTAAATAGAGACCATAGACGATAGCTGAAATGAAAATTCGTTTCAAATTCCATTGGGTAGGTTCAGGTGACGATTGAACACGATCTTTTGATATAGTCATGATGGTTCCGTCATTGAGAATGGCCATGATAAGAATCATGAATGAAGGAAAATTATAGCGGAAAATAAAGACGAGCAATGCAAAACCGACGATGACCCGGATAGTAACCGAACAGGTATAGATAGAATAGCTAGTCATGCGTACAAAAATTTGTCGAGAACCGTGTACTGCATCGATAATGATTGAAAGACCCGGTTCAGTGAGAACAATAGCAGCAGCTGATCGAGCTGCATCACATGCATCTGATACAGCCACACCAACATTGGCCTTGGCCAGAGCCGGAGCATCATTAACTCCGTCACCTAACATGAAACAATGAACAAGTGATATTATAATTGACAGAATTACCAGTCATAGCCACTAGATGACCCATATCTTGGAGTCGTTCCACAATTTCAAATTTATGGTTGGGAAAGACGCTGGCGAACCCATCTGCTTCGAGAACTGTTTCATTGATTTTGTCTTCGTCTATGGATGATTGTTGCCCATCTTTCGAATTGATTATATCTTCATACACATACATTACATCACCCATGCCCAAACGACGTCCTGTCTCTTTGGCAATTTCTAGCTGGTCACCCGTAATCATTTTAACTTTGATGCCTGCAAAACAACCAATGAGAACAGTCAAAGAGACAAGGGGCCAGTGCTGGTACCCAGCACTCTGGCACCTCAGCACCTGATCAGCGCCTCGGCATCCAGTCAGCACCTACCGCACCCAATCAGCACCTACAGGACCCAATCAACATCTTCAGCGCATCCCACTATGAGCACCTACAGCACCTTCTAGTAAAATTTAAAGAACAGAACCTAGGCTTCAAATTTTACTATAAGGTGCTGAGAAAAGCAGTTAAGATAGTGGAAAAGTAGCTGAAGGTGCTGTAGGTGCCGACTGGGTGTCGAGGTGCTGACCATATGCTGAGGTGTCAAAGTGCTGAGTACCAGCACTTTCTCTCTTGCAAAGAGAAAAGAAATCGATTCGAAAGTTTCACTCATCAATGACGAGATTACTTTTGAAACAAATGAAATTTTTCAGACTATGAGATAATATACTCATCACAAAGAGGGCAAATGAGAACATTATCAGTGCTACAAGCCCTCGGCAAAACTCCATTACGAGCTATTTCAAAATCGGGCAAATATATCGGTGTTTCGTCCTCAAGCGATTTCGCTTCTACTTTGGAGTATAACTAGTAGAGTTTGTAAAATAGAAGGACAATATAAATACCCAGTGCAATTGCTTTCGTGATTGTGTCTTTCGTGTCTTCTCGTGGTGGGTCGAAAATGGGCAAAAGTCCAATCAATGTGAAATTTTCATTGCCAGCGGCAATGGCCACAGCCAAGGCACGTAAGCCACGTTTTGCAAATTTATTGACATCTGATCGTACTTTCTCCCGTTCGTTTGCTGATTCTAAGTTGTCTTTTGTACACAGTCGTAGAATAGTTTCAGGCATTCCTTTCGTAACTCGATATATCGACAAACTCGATTTTTCTTGGTAGATCACTTCTGTTCGTTTAGTTGTTGGATCAAACGGACAAAACGATTTGACGATAATCATTTCGTCTATTGAATCAGCTTTGCCAAAAGAATCTAATACGCATGTATCACTATATGTATCAAAAAAAAGACAAATATATCTATGTGGAAATTGTAGTACGTACATTGCATCGGAATTTTCTTGATTGCATGCATAGGCTGCATAACGTATGATGTCATTTGGTTCAACATCCGTATATTTCACAATTGTATCTTTATCAATAACTAATTTGTTCTGCGTCAGTGTTCCAGTTTTATCGGAACAGAGAATGGTTACAGCAGCGAGCTCTTCAATCGCTGTAATGCGAGTGACAATTGCCTTACGAGCGGACAGTTCTTTGGCACCAATAGCCAGAGTGACCGATAATACGGTTGGCCTAAAAAAAAGAAGAAACATATCAATCATTCGAGTTTAACTATGCTCACATAGCGATCGGCAATCCTCCAATGAGTAAAACCAGAATATTATTGATTCCTTGTCGATAACTGTAGCGAAATCCGACATACATGACAAAGATTTCGGCGATGATAAAAATGGCGATGCCAACAATGCAAAAATTGCCAATTTTGGCTAAGATCATCTGCAAATGGCCTACTTCATCTCTTACGCCATCAACAATCTTTGCTGCACGTCCAAATTCCGTATTTATTCCAGTAGCAATGATTATTGCTTCGCATTCGCCCTGTTTGCATATGGTCGATGAAAGAATTGTATCACCGATTGTTTTGGATGCAGGTAATGATTCACCAGTGAGGGCTGCTTGATCCAAAGATATTGTTCCACCAGGTGACGACACGATTCGAGCATCAGCCGGCACTATATTTCCTAATTTAATAGCAACAATATCACCTGGAACAAGTTCCCTAGCCTGTATTGTCGACCATATACCATTATTGCGTTTCACTCGACATTCCGGTGCTAAGGAAGCCATCAATGCTTTAACAGCATTACCAGCTCGATATTTTTCGATATAACCAATAGTGGCATTAATAAGAAGAAGCAAAACAATGCCGATAAAATCTGGCCAATCTGGAGGTTCACCACCACCATTGCTTAATGCAATAGCCACTATAGCAGCAGCTTCCATTACCCTACAGAACATCTTTTATTTACGTGAATCATATTGTTTAAACAATCTCACCATGAAAGCGGATTCCACATGAAAAGAAAGAACTGAATGATCGGATTACGATCTTTGTGTTCGATTGTATTTGAACCAAACTAAACAATGAGTTCTTTATCTACGATTCCTTTTGAAAAAGTAAAGTTTCATCTTTAATAATGTCTGCACAGCATCAAGTCTCTAGTATGTGGGTGTGGGTGTGTGAGTGTGGGTGTGGGTGTGTTAGTGTGGGTGTGTGGGTGTGTGGGTGTGTGGGTGTGTGGGTGTGTGGGTGTGTGAGTGTGGGTGTGGGTGTGCTGGTGTGGGTGTGTGGGTGTGGGTGTGGCGGTGTGGGTGTGGCGGTGTAGGTGTGTGGGTGTGGGTGTGAATGTGGGTGTGGGTATGAAGGAAGAGAACACCCACACCCTTTCTTTTTTATTTCTTTTCCTATTTTTTTCACGTGATTTATCATTATCTTCTGTTTGAGAGTTCTCTCAAAATGTCGTCTCTACTATATTCATGTACCAGCACTGTCGTACTTGGATAAATACACTCACTCCTTTCTTTTTTCTTTTCTATTTGATGTACATATCCTATCAACACTAACATTCCTTCATCTTTTCTATTCGATGTATATACGCTATCTATACTAACATTCTTTTTTCGTTCGGCTAACATACACATTCACATATACCGACCACTTTTCTCTTTCTATTTCTCTTGAGAAATTCAATTTCTCATTTTTTTTCTTTTCTTCCTCTCATTTTATGGCTGAAAACAAGTAAAACGTCCTTGAACTTTTTTCGTCATCTATATTTCGCTTATACGGCTTAGTTAATAAAGCACAATTGCGTAAAAGAATTTTTCTTATTTGTCTTCCTTCTCTTATGTACATAAATTGGAAACACTCTATCACTATTAACAGGCAGCGCATTTGCTGTACATGTTTGTATTATCTCAATAAAGAGAAAACAATAAAAATAAAACAATAAAATAAAACAGAACAGTATATGATACATACATTCTTGTACTACTAAGCTTTTCCATTCACCTCGATAGAGCTTTTAAATGACAAAAAAACCTTCAAAATGATTTTTGATGTCTAGTGAATATTCAGACAAAATGATCCGATCCGACCCGTGTCGGACACTGCTCAGTCATTTAGATAATGCGAGAAAAAACAAAAAGAAAAAATTTGAAGGTCTAACGAACCAATGCAATTCTACAGAATAATCTTATTCTATCCTATAGTGAATAAGGATCTAACTAGGGGTGGTACTTTATCTTTACTTTATCAAGTAAAGTAAAGTTACCTTACTTTACCCGAAAAGTATAACTTCGATGAAATGAATCTGTTCGTATTTTAATGAACTTTCTGGTCGACAGTTGGTTTTTAATGCTGTTAGGAAGTGCGTCCGCTCTTTCTTATAGTGGCATATCCAGGAAATTGTGGGTAGGAAGGCAGTGCCCACCGTCCTTCAAGCTCTCTCCACGTCATTATAAATTTTGTCTTCAGTATAAATCAAGTTTTTCAATTATCTAGTTCCTGGTGAGTAATACAAAACAATACATCTGTTCTTTTATTGAATGAAATTAAATTAATAAAGGGAAGAACAAAAGGGAAATACACAAAAAATAACCATTTTAACAGTATTCGACGGTTTTTTATGCTGAATTGAGAAAGCATTAACTATCTTTTCATAATCAACAGTAATACCGCTCTTTTGATGGCTAGTAATGACAAAGGACTCAGTCTAATATCAAATATACTATTATGTGCAGTCGTTTTGATAAGTTTCCTTTTCTGGTGAGAACAGTAGATGCTCCTTTTGAACTCCAATACAGTTTGCATCATAACGAGATGCGTATGGATAGAGAATGAAACATTCAACTGTCTAAAAAGCCTTTTTCTCGCGTAACTACACTTTTATCTCAGCATCACGGCGTGAGAGCCCTTAGCGTCTTCTACCCTCCCCACAACAGTGGATAGTTAGGCAACAAAATCGATTTTCAAGATTTGAGCCTATATCATAGCTAGCATTAAAGCTATTATCGTGCTGCATTTAAGTGCATCATGGACGCTGCTTTTAGCCAGTGTCTGTTAAGCAGCCGATCCCACAAATTATATAAAATAGGTGCATACCATTAATAGGATCATATAAGTAAAATCTATGCTTTAAATTGAGGATCTAATTATGTTCATTAATTATTATAAAGTTATACAATGTTATCTATTTACTATATATTACAGGCCATTTGGACTTCTTGAAATTCCTTAGGCTATAATAAAAACAAACACTTAAACTCAGTATAGTAAAAAAATAAGCACTGATCAATAATGCAGTTATTTCCTCGAATTTTCTCGGAGCTTTAATTCAAGTTTTAATTTATTATTTGGTAGGACATGTCATCATCTATTTTCAGTTGATGCGCAAAGATGCGTGTTTAAACTCTTGTTGAGATATAGTGTCTCAAATGTAATCTTCTATCAAAATTTGTTGACAATCTTAATACAGTAATCACTCATGTTCTAGGCCGTCAATTTTCGAATAGATAAATAGACAGCAAACCTACACCAATTTCAAGTTTTAGATTGGCCATTTCATTTTAAAATCGATTCTTTGACTCTCTCTTAGGAATTAAATACATGAAAAAATCATGCATACGTTCCCTTTTAGGATCTGCATCCCCGAACAAAAATCTTTCCCATCTTTATCTTTTTACGATGTCAAACTTTGTATTAAATTTATTACCGAGTAGAGATATGACATGAAAGTTTTATTTCATTTTGGTGTACAGATTACACTAATAAAACTCTTATGTCATATCTTTACTCAGTAATAAATTTGGTACAAAGTATGACAGCATAAAAACGTCAAGAGAGAAAATACTATTGTCCGAGGATGTAAAATGATTTGTTTCATACTTTTTTAATTTTTTCGTTCATAAAAATATACAGAATTGCACGATCTTCTAGATTACGCTCGAGACAAATAATGTTAGTAGAAGTGAATAATTTTTGCAGTAAGAGTCAGTAAAGATTGCAACATATACTATAAACATCGAGAAATTTAGGTTTTAAACAGAACTTCAGAAAATACGCAATACTCAGAAACTCAGAGTGTGGGTGTGTATGTGAGCCTTGTCTTCGCTCGCACCCAAATCATATACTCACACCCCACGCTCCACATCTGGAGTTTTTGAAACACACTCGAACCCAACAGAATCCGAATTGATTTTAAGAAAACAAATATGAACAGAACCTGAGCTCTATTTTAGAAAAGAAAGGTGAACCGAATCTAACTCGAACCAGTAAAACTCGGTTCGATTCGATCTCTGCTATCAATACATCCTCTACACTTTTTGTATTAGATATTACTCTAAACTCATAATAAATGTAAATAATTCCTGATTATTATTCATATACGTACCCTTTTATTTCGAACAAGAATTTTTTTTTCAAGTAAAATTTCATTAGAGTTGAAAGACGCATCCGCTCCTCGTCAACTGAATTTCTAAAGCTATATAACATGCTAGAAAAACGATAAAAATTTCAAGATAATTATTAAGCTTTCCTTCTTGTCGGTGGGAGGGCAAAGACTTTTGGTGAAAGGACGGCGTCCTCTCTAGCCACCCTCTAGATACGCCACCACTTTCTTATTTTCTGAGTACTTTTGAAAACAAATAAAATATTTGTAATCAGCGAACTAAATACTGTTGAACTACAAAGACTTGTAATAGAACAGCGACAAAAATTTTTTTCAATACCTGAGGGAGACCCTAGGTGTGAAAAATTGGGTTGTGATAAAGTAGAAAATAAAATTATGAAAAATAGTCAGGGTTCAATGCTGATTCTCAAGGCAATAAAATTAGGTGCAGCTTTTTCGAGGCCCTCGGTCCATAATCCGACGCAACTTTTGACGTATTGAAATGTAATTAATGTGTGATAATGAACTAATAAATCAATAATAATCAACTGCATGCTTTACTTTATCTTATTTTACTTCATTTTATTTTTTCGGTAAAGTAAAAGATACTTCACTTTACTTCAATTCACTTTCCTTCACTTTATTTTACTTTACTTTTCGGGTAAAGTAGACCTACTTTACTTTACTTTACTTTATTAAAGTAAAATAAAGTTAAAGTGCCACCCCTAGATCTAACCAGATTGTATAAAGCAAAATAAAGGCAGAATAAGGGTGTAATCGCTGTTGAAGAATCTGTGATAATACTTTAATAGTGAAGTGCTTTGTCTGAAGAGGTTTTGCTTCAGTAATGGCGCGTAACATACTCTCATGTTCTTCAGGGATGACAAGTCTTCAGTTACGCCAGTATATATCACGTTCGCAAAGTAAAGGACACGAGAACACTCGACAGGTATGATATAGTATGTTGTGTATATACACGGACCTCATAATTAAAGGATTAGTGAAAGCCAGATGTCTTAGTGAAATCAAATCTCAAAAAGAGGCCTATATTACTTTGTAGATTAAGGGTGCGGATTCATCCTTATGTTTGTCTTGAGCCGTATATATATACTGTCGCTTCTAGTCAATATATTCAATTCAGATCAATTATTCATGCGTTATGATCACTTCAGTTACTTGAGTATCAATACAGATTCTATAAATTAATGTCAATTCAAGATTCAAAGGTACTCAGTTAAAAACTGAATAACTCAAGAACGGCATGTCTTACTGATTTGTCCTTTCCATGCTGAAAAGGACAAATCAGTAAGACATGTCGTTCTTGAGTTGTTCAATTTTTAATCGATTGCCGTTAAGTTTCGAATCGACGTCACAAAAGAGAACTTTTATCGAACTCTTGATATATGACATAGTTGTTCACGTGGATATATTCAATTTTTGTTCCTAAACAAAAATGCGAATAACTTACTTTCGCGAGACGTTCGTTGATCTGGTTATCTGTGAGTCCATTAGATGAAGATCTAGATAAGACAAATAAAAGCGAATAAATAGGAAGTCATCCTCTGGTCTTTCACATACTCGAGTATTCTGTAGACATCATCCAAATCACATTTGGTCAAATAACGTTTTTCGGTATCATACAAAGCATCAAGATCGATCGTCTTCCAATTGCCATTGAGTGGTGGTACTTCTGGAATATTAATTATGGTCACCTTCTTATGTTGGATCTCTTTCGATGATTTCACTTCTTCGACACTCACTGAAACAATAACAACCATCGAAATTAAAAGATTAATTTATCACAGTTACTTACTGACTGTATCACTGCAAATGTAAATGAATAGGTCTTACAATTCAATCAGCCTTTTATTCAGATTTTCTTTATCTGAGTTTCAATCAATGCATGAAGACGCATAAAAATCTACCGGTGGGACATGCTTCTCTCTTCCTCTTTCGTCCTTCTCTAATCCTCTTTCGTCATTCTCTCTTCCTCTTTCGTCATTCTCTCTTCCTCTGTCGTCCTTCTCTCTATTGATGTATTCTGTTCGTTTTCTTTGGTAAAGGACAACATTTCATGTATTTTTCTCTCCTCCTCTTCAAAATACGCCCAGAGCACTTATTTGCATATACAAAAACATAATGTAGCCCTATACGATCAAATACTGATGACGCACTTCCGATTTTCATCATCGTTTGTAACTTTCAATAATTTCGAATTGCACACGACCTCATGTCCCATTACAACCAAATTTCGACGAAATTACGCCGTGCCAGAACATATGTAAAAACGATAAAATAATATTAAAATGTCTTTAAATCACAATACCTGTAATGACGCAAATTGGTCACAAATAATGCCCAAAAAATGATTTTTATATGTTGCATTAAGATGATTATTTTCGACCAAGTTAGATGAAAAGGCAAAGTTTCCGTGCGTCAAAGATATATGCGTGGATTTTTAAAAATGGTTGAAGAAAAAATCGATTAATATTGTTGAATGGTAATGAAATACAGAAAATTTGTAGAAATGGAAGTTTTATTTCGAAATTTTTCCGAAACAGTTTAAGAAGTTCGACTTTCATAGTTTTGGTTGTTCGAAGTGTTTTAGTATTTCAGTATATTAGAACATCAACGGACTAATTCTCTGGTCAGATTGGCAGTATTTTAAGCGCCGATAACGAGAATAAAAACATAAGAGACGCTCCATTAAAAAACCGCGGATAGCAAAAACATAGTAGAAAAGATATTTGGAACCGAACCTTATAGAAAGTTAGGCCTTGCTATACCATAGAAGAATCCGAAATATTACAGTCTAAAGATAGGCTACTAGTCGGCTACGGCGGACTAAGTTGAGACACTCCCCAAACATACTCCAAAAAAGACGCCTAAAACTTTCTAAAATTTTTGTATCTTTCTTTATGAATTTTTTTCTTGAAATTTTTTCACTGTTCAAATTAAGTCATGTACCAATCGATAGAGCTTGACTTGCTCTACAAAACTGTATATATGGCATTTCTCTTTACCCTTAAAATAAAGTCGAAAAAATCAAAATATAATGTGTGATTGCATTTCAGAACATTGTTCACTTTTCAGTATTTTGACTAAGTGATAAGGTCAGAAGATATAATAAATAAGTCCCATAGGATTATCTCCCGTCGGGACCAATAGATGAAAGAATAAGATCTTTCCAACCTTTTCTATTCTGAGTTAGATGAAAAAGATCTTGTATATTGCAGTTGCACCAATCTGTGATATCATCTAACCATTCTCTAGAAGGATGGCCAACTCGAGATTTTCCATCCATTCTAGAGAATACTACTTGCTTTATTAGCCTGCTATCATCCATTCTACTAATATGTCCAAATAATTGTAACTTTCTCTTTTTTATGATATCCACAATAGTAGTTTTTCGGGATATTATTTTTCTTACAGTCTCATTTGATACTTTATCTGTCCATTTGATTTTTAATATTTGACGATAGCATTTCATCTCAAATGCTAGTAATTTCTTTTTATCACTTTCCTTTAGTGTCCATGTTTCTGATGCATATAATAAAACAGTGAACACAGTTGTAGTTAGGATTTTTAGTTTACTTTCTACTTTGATATTTCCACTACTTATTATGTTTTAACGAAGCTAGTACTGCTGTCGCCTTGCTAATTCTTCTTTTGATTTCTTCGGTGCAGTTATTATCCCAGGTTAAAAGACTTCCAAGGTATTCGAATCTGTTGACATTTTCTATTACTTCTCCAGATATCTTAATATCTTGGTTATTGTCTTTCTCCCCGAACACCATTATTTTTGTCTTTTTTGCGTTTATAATTAGTCCAGCGGGCTTCGCTGAATTGTTCGTGGTTTCGATTTGCTCTGTAAGACTATTAAAATTTTCGTCGATAAGATCTATATCATCAGCAAATCGTAGGTTATTTATTAGATTTCCGTTGATATTGACTCCACATGGTCTTTGTTTTACCTTCTCCATTATCCGCTCGATGTATGTTATAAATAGAAGCAGAGATAATGGATCTCCTTGTCTAGTTCCTACGCTAGTATAGAACCACTCTCCATCTTCCTTATTTATTCTGATAGCTGACTGAGTTTTTCCATAGATTTCCTTTAATAACCTGATTAATTTACCATCGATACCATAAGATTGTAGTACTGCCCACAAAATTTTATGATTAACAGTATCAAAAGCTTTCTAGAAATCTATGAAGCAATTATAGATTTTTTTACCTTTTCTTTTTGCCTTTTCCGCTATAAGTCTCAACATTAGGATTTCATGAACAGTACTTCTATCTTTTCTGAAACCTGATTGTTCTTCAGAAAGATAGGGATTCAACTGATATTGAAGTCTGTTTAGTAGTATTATTAAAAAGATCTTGCTAATATGATTAATGAGGAAAATAGTTCTGTAATTTGAACATTGTGATAAATCCCTCTTTTTAGGTAATGGGATCAAAATTGACTTTCCCCAATCTTCTAGAGTCACTTCGCTATGCCATATTTTATTACATAGTTTGTGAATTTGATGTGCTAATGTCTCTCCACCACTTTGTAATAATTCAGCTGGGATTCCATCTAAACTCTTTCGTGGCTTAATGTGCTTTTTATTTCCGTAATCTCGACGAATTGCGAAAAGCTAGTGCTTTAATTTTGTTTCAAGACGAAACGTGGATGAATGTCGGCGAGAAGAAAAGATCAATCTGGATTGATGATTCTGGTAAAGGAAGGCTTAGAAAAACCGATGACAAAGGTAATATACTAACAATTATGCCTGATATAATATTCATATATATTTTTTATTTAGGTTCTCGTTTGGGAATATCTGCTATGATCGATAAGAATAGTTTTCTCTTTCCATCTGTTGAGATCTTCAACTCTTCAGAAGATCATTCAATGACCTCAGCACATTTTATTTATTGAATGGATTAAAAAAGCAGCTTTTTGCCTGAGAGAGGATAACGGTAAATTTTCCTGAAATAAGAATTTCTTAAATTTTATTTTTGAAATTAGGTCAAAATCGAAGAATAGCCATAGTGATCGATAATGCCACGTGGCATTCAGAACTTACAGAAAGTTCTAAACCTACCAAAAGATCAATGAGAAAAAATCAAATAATTGAATGGTTGGAAAATCATGAAATTGAATTTGATTCGACATTCAAAAAATCGGAATTACTAGAGATTGTTTTGGAGAATAAACCCAAAAAAAAAATATAAAATATAGATAGTTTTATAATACTCATATGTTATGAACTTATATTACTTAGGTTGACGAGGTCGCATAAGAGTTCGACGTACAAATCTTGCGGCTGCCAGTGTGACATTGTTCATTAAATCCCGTCGAGATCGCTTGAGCTAGGTTAAAAGAATATGTTCGTAAAAACAACACTAACTTCTCGTTAACTAACGTCTATGAATTAACTTCTGAATTTATTGCTGGTTTCGATGACAAAGCTGCACAAAGTGCAATTCGTCGTGCTGAAAAAGTGGAAACAACGAACAAAGCAGCAGATGAATTCTTAGAAAATACTGTGAAGCCACAATTAATCGACGACGTATCAGATATCGAGACTGATAATCTTTCTGATGCTAGCGATGATAGCACCGAACTTTGACTTTATTGACTGGTAGTTTTTCGTGCAATAGATTCATAACATTGAAAATACAAAGAAAAAGAAGCAAGAATGTATGGTGGACAGTATCATTTGCATTAGATTCAGAAGAGAGCTATAGAATACAGTGGTGATCGAAGTGAATTATGTCAGAATGACTAATCACTTGTCGTTATGGGACTTAAATTGGTCGAAAACTCTCATGCACCAACAATGAAAAGATTCTTCTCTCTCGCAGTGGTGTAAAACTTGAAACTTGAATTCAATTGAAATTTCAACTTTTCAAGTTTTGAAATTTTGAAGTTTCAAGTTTTCAAGTTGTGAAAGTCTTATGCAGATGCGGCGATACGTGTCATTCTTGAGAGTTGAATGCAACTATTCAATAACTCTAAGAATATCCAGTGAGGAGGATAAGCACTTTTCCCGACTAGTTGACTTTTTATATCAGCGTCGTGGCGTGTGGGCGCGAAGCACCTTTCTGAAGAGCCGAGATCCGTGCATGTCTCTGTGTACACAGTAAGCGACGTTTATCGTGCTTAGGTCCATACATGTTCAACTTGAACCTCGAATTCTTGAAAATTTCAAAACTTAAAACTTGAAATTTCAATTGAATTCAAGTTTCAAGTTTCACACCACTGCATATAATTGGAATAGGAATAGCAGTCTTGGAACATGTTCCTAAGAAAATCCTGCACGGATATACTCGAATTCAGACCTGACGTCGCCTACATTTGAGAAGAATAATTTAATTTGAGATATGCGAGTCGAACACATGTAAATTGGAAAAGAACTAGTCATATGTCAAAATCGAATGTTAGTGAATTCATATATTGAAGGCTTTTATTACAAAATATTCAAGTTTTTGTTTTCATCGAGCGGTTTGTACAACTAGAAAACGGATTCCAATGAAAGAAAAAGCAAAGTTTCAGTGACAAAAAATGATAATCTGGTTCAGATTATTTATCAAGTGAGTTCAATCGCTTAATGAAATAGTAATGAATAGTTTATAAGAGAGATCACATATAAGAATAGACTTTCTATCACCACCATTACGATCAGTAAAAAGTGATATTGCGTGAGAAAATTAGAATTAACATTGACCAAGCCATAAACATGTAAGAACCTATGATGAGACTAATTTTTTTTTTTATACTAAAAGATCGGAGTGATACCAAAATGAAAAAACTCGCCTTCACGATTAGTTTACCGTTGTATCTCGAATTCTGTCGAATCTTGGAAATTATGCGTACGAAAACTGCATCTTTGCCAATTACTTTTCAGTCGTTTTTTATATCTTTAAAAAATAACAAATTTATGGACAACGAACAAATCAAAATATTTCTTAATAACATTCGAAAATAGAATTCATTCATTAACTCAACATCGATTTAGTTTTGTTAATCCTTCTATGATCATGTTTCAGTAATTTATTACAAAGTGTTCAAAACTTTTACGTTATATAGAACAATCTAAGTATCATAATAAGTATGCATGAAAAACAAAGTTTACGATATTTGCGAATAATTTGAAAAATAGTGCACGCAAACCAGACACATGTTTGTCATCGTCTTCCAAAGTTACTAATTGATTTTAGTATATATATATGATGGATACTTTTGTGAAATTGACAGTGATTACAAGAGCACTAAAAATATTCTACCAATCTATATGATTCTCCAATAAATCCTCCACCACAGTATTTTGAACCTATATTCAGTTTAAAAAACAATCATTCTATCTATGCTTCTATTATCTATTCATTTTTTTTTCTTTCTTCAATAATATGTTTGTATATGAAAAAACATGTTTTTGTCACTTGATGTCTATTTACTTTGTACTTGAATAAAGAATAGTGCTTTGGAAAAGATTCTCTCTCTTTTTTTCCGAAAAAAGCAAATAGATTTTTTTCATATCGACATACACACCCATATATATATAAGAACCTCTCTGATAGCAAGACAGGATAAGCTTCTCTCAATTCATTAGTATTTGTATTCCATTTGAAATAAAACTACTGTCGAAAAGAAAATGTCCGAAACAACAGCAATGAAAAATTCAGTAAATCGTATTCATGTAGATGACTTAGATGAACAAACATATAAAAGTAAGTTTAATTAAGTTCTTCTTCGTCTTTTTTTTGTTTTCTTGTCAGATATAAAAAAGATATTTTCATAGATCTTATACCATATACATCGAATATGAAAACAACTAAAACATTTTTATATGCTACTATTGATATGATACTTCGTTATATAACTGAAATGAATGAGCATGATTCACCTGTAAATAATAAATATGTTTAAAAGAAAAAACATTTTTATTTCTTAAGAATATTTAAATAGGTTATTAAAAATGGACTTCGTACACCGGCTGAATATCGAAAAATGTTTACATTTGATATAGATGATGAAAGCATTAGTTTATATGATATACTTGCGAATTGTGAACGTATTCTTGAAACAACTGTTCGATCAGGTATAGTAAAATGAATTCTTTTCGTTTATTTTAAATACATTTGATTTATTTGTTTTTTATAACATTATAAAAGGTCATCCTCGTTTTATCAATCAATTAAGTCAAGGTGTTGATATAATATCACTTGTAGGTGAAATTATAACTTCATCTGTTAATGCAAATATGTTTACATATGAAGTCGCACCAGTTTTTAATCTAATGGAAGAAAGTG